GGTCATGACCTGACCGGAAAAGGTCATGTTGCATATCAGTCGATCCGCAACGTCGAGCCGAACACATCTAAGGCATTTTCAGCGCTCTAGCACGCCTCTATCAGAAGTTATCATCGAAAAACTGTTAGATTCTGTTCGTGACCTGAGATGACCTCGGGGACATAACGAGGGGTCACAGTTGCAATTTTCTGGTTCAGTGTGTCTATTTTACCTATATCTCGATGTTTGAGAGTGTCTAGAATAGCGTTCGTGCAAAACAGACGCTTTTCAATTTTCTCCCATTGCCTTATAGTGGAGTGGAGAGGCCGCAAAATTGACCTGACCTTAGGTCACCGATATCAAAATTCCGAGATAAACATTTTATAGATAGTGTTGCTGTAATCAATCGCTGAAAGTTTCAAGGCAATCGTTCAGTCGGTGTAGCTATGACGAGCATTCTTATTTTTTCTGAGGTGAGGTCACTTGGCGTGACCTGGTGACCTGACCTAAGGTGACCTGGGTCTGAAATTTTCACAACATGTGCGGAAAAGATGCACGAACAGGTGTGCCAAAAACGGCGGCGCGGAGCGCCGCCGTTTTTGAGATATCTGCGAAAAACCGCAATGGGGTGTTCAAACACCGGCCCCGGCCCGGCGCGGGTTAAACACCCCTCCGGTTTTTTTTTTTTTGCAAATATCTTCAAAGTGGCGGCGTGAAGCGACATCACTTTTGGCATACCTTAGAATACATATTTTCTGCAAATGTTGTAAAATTTCAGACGAAGGTCTCTCAAGGTCACATCACAAGGTCCCATCAAGTGACCTCACCACAGGAAAGGTTCCAATCCTTGTCATAACTACACCGAGTGATAACCGTCTTAAAATTGTCAGCAATGGATAGGGAAACGGTATGTATGTGGCACTCGTGGCTCCTCTTTGTGTCTCTGAGGTTATCTCAGGTCAGGAAAGGTGTTCAACTGTTTCTTGCTAGTAATTTGTGATAGAGGCATGCTAGAGCGATGAAAATGCCTTAGATGTGTTCAGCCCAAAAATACGAATCAACTGATATGCAACAAGACCTTTTTGGTCATGTCTTAGGCCATGACCTTGACCTGAGGTCATATTTTTTAGTTAAACTTTCAAGGTCAAATTATAGTTTATCCGACGCGTCTCGACAAGAGGACACGATGTCGGTAAACGTAAGCTCGTGCAGAGTTTGTGACGAAAGTTAGTGCAGAAAAACCCTTTCCACAAAAGCCTTTTTTGACAGTTTTTGTTCTCTGGAGTCTGGATGCTAAACTGTTGAAGCTAGGTCAAATCTGAGGACAGTGAGCAGAAAGAGCGTTGAAAAACCTATCGAATACGCTATTCCGCGGCGCTGTAGCTCTATCCGTTTTTGAACTATGCGCCGCTTTGTCGAAAAAAAAAATCGAATGTCGAAATAGGCGAAGGAGTTAGAACGGGGATGTTCAACCTTCCTCTCCCCCAGCGGGGGTAGAAATCCGAGACCCAGCGGCGCGCGGATTAATAACCAAGTTACTACGCATACACAAGAGATCGAGTCATCCCTTGCCTAATAGCAGCGCCAGCTGCCTATATAGGTATAGGCTTATTGTAGGTAAACCTACACAAGCACTCAACAATCACGCAACAGTTGTTTTCAACAATCTACTGCTGCGTGGAAACGTTGAAAAAATGATAAAAGGTATGCCTCGTGTTGTGGATTCCTTTGTTGTTTACGAGCTATGGGTCATGTAAAATCAGGCCTCTCCAACGCCACTCACTGTCCAGACGTAAATACCTATGCGTAAAATCACATCAGAATGTCCAAAAAAGAAACATTTTACTTGAACCTTGATAGTTAATCTGTCTTGAAAAATAAGCAAATGTCACCATTTACATTCCTGATGTCATTTGGAGCACCTTCTGCGCGGCTTGTCAGTGTAAGGTTCAGGAGCCAAATTAGAAGAGGAGCTTTCAAACACTCCCGTCATTTGGTGTTCGGCACGTGATATTACCGCAGATCATCTGAACTTTGTTAGAGATGCTCTACGCTGTGCCTCTTTTGTGTGTGTGACTGCTAACAGCAGCTCGTTTTCAGTGTGTCCGGGGCAGCGTTGTAGTTGCGTGGATGTGAACGTTTTCAGCTTTGCCACCACCAGTGTGTCTTCAGCTATGGTGTGATCGGTGTTGTGCCTGTGGCTAGGTATCAGATTGGGCCATCTCAGCCCTGCTGTGCGTGGTCACTGATGTATGGGCACTGTTCGCTGTTCGATGTTTCAAATGTTTCGCGCGACGCCTACGAAAAACATTTGCATATGAGGTGATAGTATCGAGTTTTTGGCATGTCTTCTGGCGCCTGGCGGGTCGGGCCGGGCTTTGACCCCCGCCTGTAACGCCCGGCGACATCCGAGCGGTGCTCGCTGGGTAATCTGATGACAGGACCACCCGACCAACTCGGTGGCAAACGGACACACTCGCACGCGCTCTTATGAAAAATGCAGCGTTTCATGTGCCTGACCTGCGCATGACACTGGTTCCTATATTTCATAACGCAGCTGAATGGGGGTGGAGGGCGCTAAAGATTCAAATTTTGACATGTTTACCGGCGGGGCAGGGCTTTGAACCCCACACCTAACGTCCCGCGACATCCTTACAGTGCTCACTGCGGGTAATCTGATGACTGTCAGCTGACAAACTTGGTCGTGAAACGGGCACACTCGCACAGCTCTGGTAGCCTATGAAAAATGTAGCGTCTCATATGCTTGACCTGCGCATGAATTGGCTATTCAATATTACATAATGCGGTTGACTGGTTGTAGGGGAGAGGCGTTAAACAATTCACATCAAGCACAATCTGGGCTTTACTCATATCTCTATGCTAAAGGCACATACTTTTGCGGATACCAAGCGTAAGTATACATGATGTTGTTAAGTGCAAAACTTGATCAGATCAGGTCACGAAAGGTCAGCTAGCTTAATCAGGGGCTGAATGGCAAGGAGGTCCAACGCCCCCCCCCCCCTTATACGTTCGCGGCTGGGAAAACACCGATACGGGCGAGGTTTAAGCTGGATAACAAAATCAAATACACTCATCCAGGGTTGTGCTTAACTCATGAGTCGAGTCAGAAATTTGAATCAACTCTGACTCAACTGAGTCAGATTTGTGTCGTGTCGGATAAAATGTGGAGCTGTTGAATTGAGTCAGAGTTGAGTCGGACAAAAGTATTAAGGTGTTGAGTTGAGTCAGAGTTGAGTCAGTAAAATAACTTTTCACATTGAGTTGAGTCAAACATTTAGGAACATGAGTCAGCTGACTCAACTTTCTAGAAAAAATATATAAAAGCTTTGCATTGCCTCCCCCCCCGCTTAACAACTTAGCCCTGGCCCTGCTGCCGGATTTTTTTCACCCCTCCCCCCCCCCCCCCAGCTCAACAAATTTTTATCTGAGTCAATATGAGTCAACTCACTTGACTCCACAAAAAATGAGTTAAGTTTGAGTCGACTCATATTTTCATTGAGCTGCTTGAGTCATGAGTCGAGTCAAAGGCAAAATCAACTGCTTGTTTGAGTCAGAGTTGAGTCAGAGGTTTCGGAAGTTGAATGATGAGTCGAGTCGGCAATTTTTTTTTAAACCCTGCACCCATCGAACACATACGGTATGACATTTTATCTGGAACACACAGCCAGACATCATCGTAAATAGTCGTCTTAGAGGAGATGCTCAAAATATATACGTCATATACGAGTACACCCCTCGCGGACCGCCGACCGGGTGAGCTCCGCTCAACGTCGCTGCGTCTCGTCATTTTCTGCTGTTTTTTTTGTCGTCCCATGCTCCGGGTAAAATCCTCTACTACCAGCTCTAGGTGAAGAACTGTCTCCGGCTCACATCTGACCACAACTGTCATTCTTGAAACGAGACACGGAAGTATCGTTACGAGAAGTCCGGGCTTTAAGCCACGGCCATGCCTGACCGCTTATCCGCAAAGCTTTAGGTTTACCATCTTTGGGGCACAGGAACTCGCTGATAGGCACGGTTGTGTGGAAACTATCGGTTTACCATCTTTGGGGCACAGGAACTCAATGACAGGCGCAGTTGTGTGGAACTGGAGACGCATCACCTTGTTGAAACCAGCACCGGAGACGCGTGATTTGGTCATGAAAAGCTGGCCAAACGACAGGTTACAGCATCCTCTAGAAGGCTGTACCAGGGTACCTACCTTCCCCGGGTCCGCCAAACCAGTGTAATTGAAGGCAATTCCGTCAACGATGTCCACTCAGGCATGACTGTTTTTCTGAGTGCCTCAGTGTACTGATCTTGTGTAGGTTCCAGGAAACCCGTATCACCGTATTCTTGATTTTGCATGTGCGCCATGAATTCGCTATGTTGCAAAGTCATCCAAATGATATATACGTTTTAGCGATTACATCGTTACGCTTAGATGTTCAAAAAGAGCTTGATATAAAACGAATGATTTTGACCGAAACTTGGAACAAACTTGGGCAATGTTGATAAAAAATATCCAATTGTCCTTCATGTAAACCAACACGTGAGATCAAAATTTATTGTTCTATCTTTGCACGCTGCGACATTCAGTTTATATCAGTCCAAAATGATCACCCTGTAACAACATAAAACTGAATTGCAAGCTGTAGTCAATTTCGAATGAATTGCAAGTTTTTAGTCGTTTTTAGTACAACGCTTCCTTTGTGTACATGACAAACACATTGAAGCTGATGCAGCGCCGCATGTATTACTGCATCACTCTACTATTATGTGTGTTATTACAGATGATGCATGCACTACATGCGATAATTATCTGTTATACAGTGTACCTACATACATGACGTCATGTTTGATCAATGCTTGAAGTGCTGTCTTTATGCCATCTGTCGCACACACATACTTGCCACAAAGCGTTTATCTGTTACCACTTACCACTTACCACATAATGTGGCGAGTATAATATTCTTGCTAGCGCCGATGTTGTTAGTAATGATGTCCCGTCCTGCCGACAGGTCTCCAGAATGGTTGGAACGGCTACCATGGGCCTACTCATGTGTCTGGGCTGGCTGGGCTACCTGCCAGTAAAATTCCAATCAAAAACAGACACGGACCGGATTCAGTATGGAGAAGACATTCAGAAGCTGCTGCGGAACTGGCTGCCCCACCCGCCGGGTGGCCCCCCTGGCCGGCCGCCGGGGGGATCCTATCTGGGTGTGCCGCCGAATGGACGCTACCGCCATCAGCAGGGGGTCCTCGCTCGTCGGAGGGGACCCCTCGTCCGCAGCTGGGCCGGACCCGCTCCCCAGTATCGCGGCTACATTCGAGGCGGCATTCAGTCCCCGCGGCGTCCCTCCACTGCCTCTAACCAACCGGTGAGGGAGCCACAGTGAGACGTGATAACGCTAGATTTCTTAGCTGCTGCTGTGAAAATACATTATTATTAAATGAATAGTTACTTTGTTACATTTCATAACGTGATTTATTTTCCAGTATAGTTACTTATGCATTTTTCTTTTTTGTCTGGATAATCTTTCTAGAAATGTGATTAAATGGCACATACCTTTGAGCTTTTTGAGATCCTGCATATCAACACCCGTATAATAAAGTGCCTCTATAACGTTCAATTTTCTACTCTCTAGGTGGTCGCCCAGCAGAGAGGTCCCGCTGGCCCTCCGCGGCGGGGAAGGCTGTCACCACTCGGCTGATGGTCCGTGCGTCCGATGGACCGAGTCGGGGTCCTCGGCAGCCGCTCACCTCTCCATCTGCTGAGCGGAGGCCACTACACCACTGGGATGACGGCGGGCACCCACTCCGGACACTGAGAGAGGACGAGATACGGCGCGCGCAAAATAATATCGCCCCAGCGCGAGGTGCTAACAGATGAGCGTCAGTAGAGTGTGTATGTGTGTGTTTTTCATAAGGTATTAAAATGATAAGTTGTTTTAAGAAACAGCTTACATCAACAAATGCAGCATCGCTTAGTCCTGCTCAGGGCATGACTGATATTGTTAAATGGGCATAATTTATTGTTAATAATTTGGATATTTATTGCCTCGTGATAAATAACATCGCGAATAATACCTTAAATGCGTAGGTTGTTTTGCTAACCAAATGATACGCTTCAGAGTAGAATACAATATATCCCATAAAATACAGGTGCAATGCATAAAGTATGAAGTAGGTACAGGTTCAATGTAGAAATACAATGGCAGTGCCATGAGCATTTAGGAATGAAGTGGCATGCCATCAAGACTGTCAGAAGTTGTTTATGACAAGAATAACAAGCTTATTACAGGAGAAGCAAGCTCGTTTCCTTGCTTTTATTTACTAATGAAGTGTAACAACAACAACAATTTACTTATGAAGTGTTACACAACAAGTAACAAGTTCCTTGTTGTGGACATGCTTACTGTAAATATATAAATAATTGTGTTCAACTGTGTAAAACACCGTCATGTTTTATATCCTTGAAGTGTTTGATTTAGCCGTCAGATGTTGCACGGACTACCTACTTAATTTGAGCACCTTACGTTGCTGTTATACTGTACGACTCTGTACATTATGGGGTAACAAACTGATGCATTTAGGAAACAACACAAACCATTATCATTAGTTCTTGCTCAAACGCGGACATGATACAGTCGCCCTACATCGTTTTTGTGTCACGATATAATGGATGGTGTCGTATGGGAACGTTAACCTCATCCTTCTGAGCCACTGAGACTATAATCGCATTAGTCTGAGCCAGCGTGCGGAAGATTATATCAAATCTAATGGTATTCACATGTTATCAGCCTGCGGTATGTATTTGGGACAGGGCTTAGAGGAGCGAGAGAAAGACATGAAAAGAAATAATGATATGAAGAGAAAGACGAAGGCCTTGAATGATCGTCATTGTCATTTTATGGGGCGAAGAGATTGACATTCAGCGGCATGAATGCCGCGATCAGACGCAGGAGATTCTATCAGCAGTCTGGTGACACCAATCGGTGTGGGGAGTGGTAGCGCTCGAAAACTACTAAAGTTAAGTCATGCGACAGCTACCGTTAGGTGGTGTGTGATTTTGTGATTACATGCTAAGACCGCCTTCACAGAGACGCGGTATTTTCCTTTCATTTAACCCACGCATGACAGGGACATTTTCCATAACGCGAGTGACTGAGGAGGGGGGAAGGGGCTCTCGAGAGCCCCCCCCCCCGAACTACTGGCCCGATCGTCAAAATTCAAACGGCGCCTGATAACCCTGGAAACACTGTTAATCGAGACCTATTTCCATTGAACTCGAGGTCACCGATGACGTCACAGGTCAGGTCAAAGTAAAAATTATCGGCATTTTTGCTTGCTTACAATTCAGGCTCAGGCCGCCGGCTGACAAGTCCGAGCAGACTCATTTTTGGTTTACGCACTCCTTGATATATGCGTTAGATACCGTAAGGGTACCGAACTTTTACTTCGAATTTTTCAGGCCAAGGCCAGGTCATCCTAGGTCACGAAAATTGTAGGTATATCATGTATCGGTCAACTGACATATGTTTCATGGTCCATTTTACACGTAGATTTCGAAAATAATGTCGTCTGTGTCATTTTAGGTCAATTTCAGGTGAATTTACCGGAATTCAGGTCATTTTCAGGTCAGAAAAGGTCAAATTTTGAAAATGAAATTGTTCAACAAAAAGTGTTTATCAGATGCAGCTTGAGCTCAGGAACACGATGGTGCCATTTATATTGCTATACGATGTCAAAAACGTACTGAAAAATGGTTTTGAAAAATATATAATTGTAAAATTTTGAACATAACGCACATAACTTGGCTATTTTTGAAGATATTGGGCTAACACTTGCTAGGATAGTTAATCAGTGCATGTTCTATCACATGTATTCGGGTTTTTGCGAAAAATTAAAAACTTTTTGAAAAAATCAAAAAATATATATTTGTAATTGCAAAAACATATTTTCAAAATTTTCAAAACTGCGGAAATTCGAGATAGCATTTTGACAGCTACGTGTATTTGTAGTTCACTGATGCAAATAAATTGGATCTAGCTTTAAAACTGAACTCTAGAGCGTTTGCCGTAATTCAATATTTTGTATCAAAATCTGCCGATATGACGTCACTCTGACGTCATTTTTGGCCAAACTTTGTTAGCTAGAAAGTTGAAATTTTAACACAAGGTGTCAAATTGATGCCGCTGAGGGTACTGTAAGTTCCGTATTGATCCATGAAACGGTTTAAAAATATTGCCGAAAAACGGGAGGGGGCTCTGTAGAGCCCCCTCCCCCAGTCATGCGCGGGTTAACCCGCGCCAGGCCGGGGAAAGGGTAGAAAAGGGTAGGGCGGAAAGTGTACACCCCTGCAGTTTTTCACAGATATCTAAGCCGCCATTTTTTGTGTTCGGCAGGCGCGGCGCCACGGATTTTGTCCAGGATCGGCAGAGCTAAGGGTCTCACTCCAAGGGGCTTCCCAGCAGCGAGACCTTTTTGTAATACCCATCACAAAAAGCATGGATTCTTTTGTACCGGTTACTTTTCTTTGAACAAAAAGAAATAAATAAGTGAATTTTACTTGAGCATGTCGATATGTTCAACGATCGAGATGAGCATATCGAGCATATCGGTGAAACTTTTCTCAAATTTACCATGGGATGGGTGGGGGTGATCTAAAGTATTAACCCTCGCCCGTATCGGTGTTTTATCAGCCGTGAATGTTTAAGGGGGGTTCGTTCGACCCCCCCCCCCCCGCTATACGGGCGAGGGTTAAGGTGCTACAAAAACGCAGTATGTTTAGCATCTACCCAAGAGTTCGTCTAATTTTACACTTGAACGCACACATTTTCTTCGTTTTCCGTTCCTCTCAGCCCGTCAGAAGCCTTTATCTATACCGGTGTCCGCGGCCTCCTCCAGAAGTTTCTTTTCTTCTTATGCTTCCGCAGAGGGAGAGGCATTAATATGGTGCCTGCATGTCATCATCGGCCTTGTCATAGCCGAATTTCTACGGATCATGCCTAAGAGTGACCTTATGTGTAGGGTAACTTATTCGTTACAGTTATATATATATATATATATATATATATATATATATATATATATATATATATATATATATATATATATATATATATATATATATATATATATATATATATATATATATATATATATATTTAAAGAAAATGCACTAGATTCGCATTAATAATTATTCTAAGCCACACTTCGGAGTCGATCGATCGTTGTGTATTCGTTAAAAAGCTAACAGTTTCGGATCATCTCGATCCCTTTTCAAAGCTATTATGAAAACACACAATGACAGCACGTTACACGAAATTCACGACACGATTATGCTCTTTTTGTTGACAGCGCACATGAAATAAATTATCAGGAGCTTCTTTTGCAACATTTGGCCTTAACTATGCCCGCTATGACATTATTAAACGCGAAGTGTCCCTGTGACAAGTTGATATTTTTGTGGTGCTTATCAGCGCTGATTCTACAATGCGACGTAGCCAGGCAGGGCTGGCTATGGGGAATCCCCTCTCTCCGATCTTAGCTAACCTTTTTATGGAGTACTTCGAAAAGAAACTACTTAAGGACATAGCACCCCCCAATTTGATCTGGCTAAGGTACGTAGACGATGTGTTCGCCGTTTGGCCACCAGGTAGCGATTTTGACACATTCTTCAGCCGTCTGAATGACCTTCACCCCTCCATCACCTTCAAGGTTGAGTGGGAAAAAGATTGCACGCTACCATTCTTGGACATTCTGATTACGAGGGACTCGTCAAATATCAGGTTTTCGATTTATAGAAAACCGACAAACTCCAACGTGTACATTCATTACTTTTCCTTCCACGATAAGTGCACCAAAAAAGGCGTGATACTGGGACTATTTCTAAGAGGGTATAGAATTTGCGACAAAGACAATCTCCAGAACGAGGTGTCTGAGATCTACAGAATTTTCACAGACCTTCGATACCCTGAGTGGTTTATTCATGACGCTCATATGTCGGCAAGGCGTACCTTTTTCACTACCAATAGGAACAAGAGGGAGAAACCCAAGAAATGCTTGGTTTTGCCGTATAACGAGGGCTTAAAAGGTTTTAAAAGGGTGTGCAGTGAGGAAGGGGTGGGTGTTGCTTTCACTTACCCAAACACTATTTCCAAGACTCTCATTAAAAACAAGCCGAACAATGAAAACAAGGTTGGGGTGTATAGCATTCCTTGCAAAGTGTGCCCGGACACCAGCTACGTGGGAGAAACTGGTAGGAGTTTAGAGAAAAGGGTTTATGAACATAAAGGGATATCAGGGTAGCGAATGAGAAAAGCGCGCTCTTCTGTCATGTTAGAGATTATCAACATTTAATGAACTTCGAAGAAGCAAAATTACTATACTCTTCAGATGATTACTTAAAACGTCGCATTGTAGAATCAGCGCTGATAAGCACCACAAAAAAAATATCAACTTGTCACAGGGACACTTCGCGTTTAATAATGTCATAGCGGGCATAGTTAAGGCCAAATGTTGCAAAAGAAGCTCCTGAGAATTTATTTCATGTGCGCTGTCAACAAAAAGAGCATAATCGTGTCGTGAATTTCGTGTAACGTGCTGTCATTGTGTGTTTTCATAATAGCTTTGAAAAGGGATCGAGATGATCCGAAACTGTTAGCTTTTTAACGAATACACAACGATCGATCGACTCCGAAGTGTGGCTTAGAATAATATATATATATATATATATATATATATATATATATATATATATATATATATATATATATATATATATATATATATGTTACGGGCCAAGTGCGAAGGCTAGTCCGTTTGCGAACGGACTAGTCCATTTGCGAATGGCGGTCCGTTCGCAAACGGACTAGTCCGTTTGCGAATGGCCGGCCATTCGCGAATGGCCTAGGCCGTTTGCGAACGGACGGGTTTGTGGCGTTGCACTTAGCCGCCGGAAGCATGGATCCTCGGATTGGGGTACGATTCCGAATGAATGGGGGACCGCTGGTCGATGCAGGGGCGTCGCCGACGGGGGGGGGGGGGTCGGAGGGGTCCGGACCCCCCCCACACACACACATTCTTGAAAATATGCCGGTCCGACACCCCCCGGCCCCCCCCCCCCCACACACACACCTTTGGCCACGAAAATCGATCAATAATAAAATAAAATATTTTAAAAACGATTTTGGTGCATTCTCAAAATAAAATTGTCTAAATCCCAGGAGTTTTCAGTATTTGGTGGGGATTACTTTGACTGACCGTCCGACCAGATCCCCTAGTCGAAAATCCGTGGCGACGCCACTGCGTCTATATGTTTAGTTTGTTCTCCGGAGTAGATCTGCGAGCTGGCGCAACTCTGGGTTAAGGTCTCCACACACCTGGTCCATTCGGGATGCGACTTTCCGCTGAACCCTGCACAACGCGGAAATTAT